ACCAGCGGATGGAAGACCTCTCTCTCTGTGTCTTCTCTCTGTGTAACTTTCTCTCTGACTTTCAAATAAATACATGTTTTAAGAATTATTTATTTGGAAGACAGAGTTATAGATAAACAGATAGAGACCAGGAGGGGGAGGGAGAGAGGGAAAAGGAGAGATCTTCCATCTGCTGGTTAACCCACCAAATGGTCCCAGTGGCTGGGATTGGGTCAGGCCAAAGCCAGGATCTGGAACCCTGTCTGAGTCTCCCTCATGGGTGGCAGAGACTCAAGAACTTGGGTTGTCTGCTGCTTTCTCAGATGCATTGGCAGAGAGCTGGGTGGGAAGTAGAGCAGCTGAGATGCAAACCAGTGGCCATATGGGATGCCAGCATCACTGGCAACAGATGATCCTAATGCATCACAACACTGGCTCCAACAAATTTAGGTAAAGCAATTAAAAATGCCAGGGAAATATCAAATAAAATGCCAGAGATGAGCATTTTGGTGCAGCAGGTTAAACCACTACTTGGGAAGCACATGACAAATATCAGAATGCCTGGGACTGAATCTTGTCTGTTTCTGATCCACCCTTCTATTAATATGCATGAGTGGCACCAGATAATGGCCCAAGTACTGGGCCTCTGACACTCATGTGGGAGATTTAGACAGAAGTCCTAGCTCTTGGCTTCAACCTGGCCCATCCCGAGCTGTTGTGGGCATTTGATGGGTGAACCAGTTGTTGAAAGACCGCTCTTGCTTTTTCTCTCTCCCTCACTCTCTGTCACCCCTCCCCTTTCTCCCTCTCACCCTCCCTATCAGTCTTTCAAATAAATAATGCTTTAAAAATGTTAATGGCCCATTGGACCTAGGGTTTCCATAAATATCTGCCTAAAAATTTTGTACTTAAGCATATTTATATATGCTGTTTATAGAAAAATAGAGATAAAAGCAAATAGGAGTTTCAAAAAGTTTGGGAAATGGAATTAAAAATAAGTTTCTTTTGTGCAACTAATTTTGAAATCATGCATGTGAAAGGTCTTCAGAAAGTTCATGGAAAATGCCTTTTATACAAAAATGGTGCATGGATTTCAAAATAATTTTTTAAAGAAAATCTATATTTATATGAAAGGCAGTTATGGGGGTGGGAAGGGGAGATATAGATCTTCCATTTTCTGGTTCACTCCCAAAATGACCACAGGAGCCAGGTCTGCCCCAGGCTGAAGATGGGAACCAGAAGTCCATCCGAGTCTCCCACAGGGGTGGCAGAGGCTCTAGTAGTTGAACCATCTCCTTCTGCAGGTGCATTAGCAGGAAGCAGAACAGCCAGGACTGCAACTGGAGCTCAGATATGGGACGCTGGCCTCACATGTGGCAGCTTAACCTGCAGTGTCACAAAGATGGTCTTTCAAAACAAATTCTTGGGGCCGGCACTGTGGCACAGTGGGTTAAGCCACTTTTTGCAGTGCCAGCAACCTATAAGGGTACCAGCTTGAGTCCTGGCTGCACTTCTGATCCAGCTCCTTATTAATATGCCTGGGAAAGCAGTGGAAGATGGCCGATGTGGAAGACTCAGAAGAAACTCTTGGCTTCAGCATGGCCATTTGGGGGCTGAATCAGCTTTGACTTCCAAATAAAACTTGAAAGAAAAAACATTCTTATTCACTTAAAAGACCTGTTGCAATCCAAGTACTCGGTTACTTGCTCAGCAGAAATGCTAATTCAGGTGCAAGAAGTGCTGGAATCAGGGATGCCTTGGTAAAGAAGTAGTGGTTTGGAGAGGTCACTTAAGGGGCTTTTATGCAGAAGCCAGGCAGCAGTGTTTTAGAGTTTAAGAGAAAGTGTTGGTTTAAAAATTACGTATTGGGGCTGGTGCTGTGGCATAGAGGATAAGGCCACTGCCTGAGTGCTGGCATCCCATGTGGGTGCTGGTTCGAGTCCTGGCTGCTCACTCTGATTCAGCTCTCTGCTATGGCCTGGGAAATCAGTAGAAGATGACCCAGGTCCTTGGGCCCCTGTTCCCACATTGTAGACCTAGAGAAAGATGTGGGCTCCTGGCTTCAGATCAACCCATTTCTGGCCATCATGGCCATTTAGGGAGTAAGGTAATGAATGGAAGACCTCTCTCTCTGCCTCTACTTCTCTGTAACTGCCTTTCAAATACAATAAATAAAACTTTTAATAAACAATTTTAAAAATTACATATTAACTTCCAACTGGGAGATCAGTAATTAAGTCAAGGTAGTTAATCATGTAAACAGGCATCTAGGGGTCAATGCTGTGGCACAACAGGTAAAGCCACTGCCTACAGTGCTGGCATCCCATGCGGCGCTGGTTCAGGTCCCAGCTGCTCCACTTTTTATCCAGATCTCTGCTATGGCCTTTGAAGGCAGTAGAGGATGGCCCACATCCTTGGGACCCTGCACCCACATGGGAGACTCAGAGGAGGCTCATGGCTTCTGGCTTGAGATTGGCACAGCTCTGGCCACTGCAACCAATTGGGGAGTGAACCATTGGATGGAGGACCTCTCCTATCTCTGCATAACTGACTTTCAAATAAATAATCTTTAAAAAAAATTAAATAGGCTTCTAGTCAGGCAGTAATGATGACCCTGTTTCATTTCTAAACACAGAAATTATTTTAAATGGCTTTAGAGATGTATTTATCAAAATAATGTGGGCAGGACTCCCTGGGGCAGCACAGAGGCTGCAGGAGAATGCAGAACACCTGAACCAGTGAGCCCCAGGCAAAGTGTGTGTGCAGTTGATGCAGGACTCCCAGTCTAGATGACAGACACATGGTTCAAAACTGGAACTAGAAGAAAACTGCCTGAGAAGAAGCATAGCAATAGAATAGGCACAGAACCCTGGTATGCTAGGGTATAGTCCTTTTGGTCCTCTGCTGTTACTTCCCCTTAGCAACAGGCAGAGCCTACAGCCTTCTGCCACCCACCCTCTCCCCACATAAAGTTAGAGTTGGAGGGGCCCATGGAGAAGTGGTGCATCTTGGGAGGCTGAATCTCTGGAAGAGATGGTAGAGCAGGTGCAGAGCTCACCTGGCAGTGCTTGGGGACAGTTTCCCCACTACTGCATTTTATTGGGGATATCAAAATGCTTACCACCATCACACACACACACACACACACACACACACACACACTGCAGTGGCTTAATTGGTAAATCCTTCCAGACAACAGTGATTACGCCAGGAGCTAAACATAGCAACTTCCCCTAGAACTGTAGCTGGGGGAACAGGTCCCACTCACAGATGGAGAGAATGGGGACAGGCTACACCCCACTCACAAACAGGTCAGGTCATAAGGCTCTCACCAGCTAGCAGCTCTCTGGTCTCACCTCCCCGGTCTTTCTAGCTGACAAGCTCTTCCCAACCTTTCTGCCAGGGAGGGATACACTCAGGTATCACCTTCATGGAAGACCTAGAAGTTTTTTTTTTTTTTTTTAAAGATGTATTGCTTTGAAAGAGTTACACAGAGAAGGAAAGAAAGAAGTCTTCCATCGGATGGTTCATTCCCAAATTGGCTGCAATAGCTGGAGCCGCATCGATCCGAAGCCAGGAGTCAGTTTGGGTGCAGGGACCCAAACACTTGGGCCATCATCTACTGCTTTCCCAGGTCATAGCAGAGAGCTGGATCAGAATTGGAGCAGCCAGGACTAGAACTGGTGCCCATATAGGATGCTGGCATTGCAGGCGGTGGCTTTGTCCTCTACACCACAGCACCAGCCCCAACCAAGAAGTTCAAGTTGACATAGTGAACAGCACACTGTGCTTCCCAAGTCTAATGTAATCATGGGCAATGTTAACAGAGGTGTTGCAGGCTGAGGGAGGTGACAGGCATGCTTTGCTGCAGAGCTGTGATGTAGGAGAAGCAACTCCAGACCAGGAGAAAGGGGTCCCTGGGGTTCCAAGCCCTTCCTCTCTCCTCAGTGACCACTCTCCAGACCACCTCTTCTCTGTGGCCACAGACAGTTCTGATAGCAATGTCCTGGGGCAGGGGCATTCAGTCCCTAATGAAGACTACTGCAGGGTCTGGGAGGGAGGGTTGCAGGGAAGATCTCTGAGTAGTTGGTCTTGAGGGAGCATTCCTCTTAAAACATTACAGTCCTGTCTGCCACAGGCAGCCCTGGCCTTGATGGTCATTTGTCTATTATTGTCTCACTTCAGATGATACCTCCAACCTTTGCTATTGGACAGAAGGTGATTGGCAAGAACATTCTACCCTAAAGTTTTAAAAGATTTACATATTAGCACATCCAATCACTGGCTCTCTCCCCAAACATCTGCAAAGCCAGGGCTGGGCCAGGCTGAAGCTAGGAACTCCATCCTGGTCTCCCACATGGGTGTCAGGAACTCACACACTTAGGTTATCACCATTGCTTCCTAGATGCATTAGCAGGAAGCTCAATTGGAAGCAGAGGTGGGACCTGCTTTCAGATCCTCCAATAAGGGCTGTGGGCATCCCAAGTGGCAGCTTAACCATTACACTAGAACACCCTCTACTTTGATATTTATTTACTTATACATTTATATGCTTATTTATTTGAGACAGAAAGAGACATTCTGTACACCATTTCACTCTCCAAAGGCCTGAAATAATTAGGGCTAGGCCAGGCTGAGGCTGGGATCAGAGGACTCAATCTGGTCTCCCCACATGGTTGGCAGGGACCCAACTATATAAGCCATCACCTGCTGCCTCCCAGGTTGCACATTAGCAGGAAGTTGGAATTGGAAGTTTGCCAAGACTTGTACCAGGCACTTTAATTCAGGATCCAAGTTTCCCAAGAGGCATCTTAATCACTGTGTCAAACACTCACCCCCACCTCAGTTTATAAAGACAAGGAATTCAATTTCTCTTTCTACTACCAATAAACAGGAGTATGGATAATCTCAATTGCTTGCTCTAAGCATAATTTTTGTTGCCACAAAGGGAATCCACTTCAGATAATGGTAGTGCTGTGAGTGACAGAGCAGAGGTGAAAAGAACCCATGTTCTCACTGACATCACTCAGCTGTTGAATTTGCTGAGCCCAGGGCCACTGTGTCTGACTCTCCTCATTGTTCAAGCTGGTTTGTGAAGGGCTTTTAGTGACCTGAACTCGAAACACCATGTACTCTCTACAAGGTGTTGGTAAGGATTTTGAACTATCCATGGTCACCTAAAGGGCCACTAAAGAGTTGGACTCACAATTTTGTCTTAGTACAAGGTGTCCTAACTGAGGACAAAGCCACCAGGATTTCCTCTGTTTGATTCATCTTACATTTGAGGAAGGTACTGTAGTGCCTAAAAAGGGGTGCAGGAACCTCAGTTTTCCCACTCAGCTGTGTGGCCCTGAGGAAGGTATTTAGATTCTATGGCTCCACTTTCTCCCCTGCCCATGGAGAGTATCACAGTGCTTGTTTAGAGGGTTATTGTCGGTATCAAAGGAATTAAATGACTCACGTGTGTTAGAGTTTATTCCAGCTATGAGTAGCACACAAAGTAAATATTTAAAAGTGTAGCTTAGGGGCCAGCATTGTGGTAGAGTGAGTTAAATCATAGCCTATAACTCTGGCATCCAATGGGGGTGCCAGTTCAAGGCTTGGCTGCTCCACTTCTGATCAAGCTCCCTGCTAATACACCTGGGAAAGCATTGCAGAACCCAAGTACTCAGGTCCCTGCACCCAGGTGGGAGGCCTGGATGAAGCTGCTAGCTCACACTTTCAGCCTGGCTAAGTCCTGGTGGTTGCAGCTATTTGAGGAGTGAACCAGCAGATGGAGGATACCTCTCTCTGACTGACTTCTATCTCTGTAACTCTGCTTTTCAAATAAATAATGTCTAAAAAAACTACTTCTCTCACATTTAAGGATTTAAAGATATTCATTCCAGGAGGGGATCCTTTGCCTTGTTGCCTCATCCATAAGGTTTCCTCATGGGACCAAACGGTTCCTGCAGCTCCAGTCACCCACTCTCCACCCCATCCAGAAGGACAATAGCAAATAAGAAGAGCATGTTTCTACTGTAAGCATATTTCTTAGGGTTGGGCATTTCACCTAGCAGATAAGATGCTCCTTTCCCATATGAGTGCCTAGCTTTGAATCCAGGCTCCAGCTGCCAATTCCACCTTCCTGGTGATGTTCACCCAAGAGTTGGCAGTGATGACTCAAGTTATTGGGTCCCTTTCATCCCATGGGAAACCTGGATTGGGTTCTTGGCTCCTGATTTAGGACCAGTCCCATCCCAGCCCTTGCAGACACTTGAAGAGTGAACCAGCAGATGGGAGCTTTCTCCATGTCTATCTGTCTCCTTCTTTTTGCCTGTCAAATAAAATGTTTAAAGAACATTTCCTGGGAGTCACACATCATGGCATCAGGTATGCCGAACTGAAAAATTAAGGAATCTGTTATGGGAGATGGGCAGGAAGTATCTAACTTCTGCTGCCCATGCAGAGGATGAGCCCAGTGTATCCACACAGGGCAGGTGTTCTCTTTAAAAATCTCCACTCAGCACAACACTCAGTCCCCAGTCCTCTGTCAGAATCTCATCATGTCCTTTAGGCTCATCAAGCATCCATTTATGCTGTAACTGAGCTAACATACTGTATAGACACACAAAATCTGGGTAATTTCACTATGAAGCCATAGTTGCCAAGTCACTGCCTATGAAGCTGCACCTGGTTCACAGGAAGCACTCAGTGAATCTTTGCAATTACTGTCCCTGTGGTTAAAGAACTAGTCTATCAGGCTAGCACTGTGGTGTAGTGAGTAAAACCACTGCCTACAGTACAGGCATCCCATATGGGTGCCGGTTTGAGCCCTGGCTGCTCTTCTTCCAATCCCGCTCTCTGCTATGGCCTGAGAAAGCAGTAGAAGATGCCTCAAGTCCTTGGGCCCCTGTACCCATGTGGAAGACACAGATGAAGCTCCTGATCGGTGCACTTCTGGCCGTTGTGGCCATTTGGGGAATGAACCATTGAATGTAATACCTCTCTCTCTCCCTCTGCCTTTCAAACAAATAAATCTTAAAAAAACAAATAAACAAACAAAAAACTAGTTTATCAGGATCTGGAGGAATGGAGCTTGAATTCCTCCTGTACCAGTTATCAACTGTGTGATGCTGGGCAAGTCCTTAAACCACTCTATGTAGCAGCCCTACTTATGTGTTTGAGAGGTGCATTTAGCTCCTTGCTACATGCATTCCTTTCTAACCTCAGCATTTCTTTATAAACTCAACTTTTCTGTAACAAGCCTTGTAGGATCACAGCACTATAAAAAGTTCTTGTCATTACCTGAGAAAATGTTTCTCAAACTTTTTCTTTTGTGTACTGATACAAACATGTCTTGGCAAGTAGTTGAGGTTCTCATAAATGAGAAGGATGCTCATACAAAATAACAGACAGCCTATAAAATATGTAAAACAGCTTAGTCTAAATGTGTTCATCTTCCTTGGAGAGATAAGGCAGCTAACTTTTATGATCATGTGGGTTGGAAACATAAAAATAACTTTTTCATAAAAGGCCAGTTTTACATCACATGAAATATAGAAGAAGTTAGATAACTTAGGTTTGTTGTTGTACCCATAGTTATATATGGTAATCCAATCTAAGTATGAATAAAGATATGATTGAATGGGTTCAGTCAATTCATTTTTTTATAATGAAAAGTTTAAGGATAGATCAATGTTTCCAGGAAAATCACTGTCTGATTTTGTTAGCATGAGAATGGAAGGGAGAAAGGTGAAGGAGAAAGAAATAGTGTCTGTATTTGTAGGAAGCTTGGGAATCACGGCTCCAGTGAACGAGAGAGTCCAGTCTTGGTGTTGTAGAGGAAGGTGTGTTTCCCACTCCCATGTCCTCCATTCAACACATGGGAGAGGAAGCTGAGTGCAATTAGAACATATCTGATTGTCTTCTAGAGAGTTTGCTCTGAAGTTATCAGAATTGCACATCGCGCCTTTCCATGATGAATGAATCTCTCAGGTGAAAACTGTAATTAACAATGTGGTACGTAGCTGAACTCCTTTGGGAGACCCTACAACGTGCCTTATAAGGAAGTTATCATTAATCAAAACCCAAGTAAGAATATTAACAAAGTATTCACAAAAAGTGTCCAATAAACTCAATCCTGTGAGGTGTCTCAGACGTCTAAGTAAACAATCCTGCATGAGGGCGCCCTGATCAAAAGAGCATATCTCATTGTTCCTTGTTTGTTATTGTGGCCCAGGTAAATGGAGTCTTGCAGTAACACACAAGAGTGAGCAATATAAGATTGACATTTCACAAAGAACAGCTCAGAGATAACAGAATTTATACATCCAGTCTAGAACCCAAAAGGATTTACAGGACCCAAGATGTTAAAAGGCCTGGGGAAAGTGTTCTGAATGTATTACAGTTGGCAATGAAGCTTTTGTGTAGAAATCACAGTAAACCTGATTCAAATGGCTGAAATGTTAACACCAGAAAAAAAGGAACTTCAAAAACCTTTCACATGACATTAAACAGAAACACATACAGAAAAATACACTCAAAATCAAGATCTTGCACTGTATTCCCTGAAACTCTTAACCACTGCAAACATGAAGATGAACTGTACCTGTATCTTTATGGGGAATCAAGAAGGCAGGACTGCCTGTTGCTCAACCACCTACACCCACACCTGAGCAGTTTCTGGACCTGTAGGGAAGATGTTTTAGAAAGGGAAATATGGATCAATGATGCCATATTTCTGACACCCCCACCTTCCTTATGAGCACAGAAGCCATCATTTACTTCCTCTCAAAGTACTTATCTTCCCCATATACAAATGATAGCATTTGTTGCCTATTCTTCTTTTGTCAAAAAAAGAGGCACCAGATTTCAAGATTTTGTTTTATAAGTCTATATCTAGAGCCCTCCATGCCTGAGTTATTTTTGCCAATGCCATGCAATTTGAGTTTAAAATTCTGGTGTATGGGAAATGTTGTCAAATTAGCATTAACAACATATTTTCTAAACCAGAAAGACTTTGACTGGAATAATGATCATGTTTCTTTTTTCTTTTTTTGTTGGATTTGCGTTGACAATTTATTTACTCAAATGTTTGGCCTTACTTGATTATAAAGGTGATTCTTAGTGAAATGTTACATAATTTCTAAGAAGAATGGGAATTTACTTTCACTGGATTACCTAGTGGAAAGCAGCGTGCAGTACATTGCACGCATTCCAGCCCACGTTTAGCTGATTGGTAAAACAGGTAAAACAGGGCCTGAAGGCTGGAGCTGGCCTCGCCTCAACAAAAGGCCACAACGCAGTCCACTCTCCCGATATCCCTCCGTCCTTTCCACCCAACCTGAGGAGAGGCAGACCTCGCGCATGGAGACGGAGAGGAGGCTCTGGAGCGAGCCGAGGTCGCTGGTGCAGGCACGGGGCCTGTCGCCCATGTCCGGAGCTGGCCCAGCCCTCAGCGGTGGGGTCTGCGGATGGAAGAGCTCACCGCGGGGGAAGTCCAGGTCCCTCTGTAGCTGGTTCTGGCAGTATCCATCCGCCCACGGCCACCTTCTGGGAAACCTAACCCCACACAATCACCACTTCCCGCTCACGAGGTCTCCGGCTTCCCTTTCTCAGAGTGGAGAAGGCCCAGCCACCGCTGGGACGCTCTGCCCACTGTAGGCTGGAGGCCACTAGGACACAGGGATCTCCTGAGATGAGGAAGTGGTCCGCCACCCTCACCAGGGCCCCTGATTGGACAGTTGCAAAGCCGATGGACTTGAGGGGCATCACAAAAGCCGTAGCCAATCAGCACGCTCGCTGGCGCAGTGGGCGGGGGAGGTTGTTGCCGGGCGACGGGAGGGCAGGCCGGGTTTGGGATCTGAGGCCGCCCAGGTGCCTGATTTCCGGACAGGGTCGCTGTGGCCTCCGTGTTCCTCGGGGCTCTGGGGACCTCTAGAGTTCACCGTGAGCTGCAGAAGCCGCTCCAGGTGAGTCACCGCTAACTGCGCTTCATCGTATTCTGGTCTTTGTGTTTCTTCTTATTCTGAACGATTTCTCCTTTGGGAAGTTTCTGTAATGTTCCTTTGAATGATGTTTAAAGATATTGCGTGGTTAAACCTCTTGGTTCATTTCTCTTGTAGATACGTGTCTTCTAGACTGTCTTTTGTCTTTTTAATATTTCCTATGTGTTTCTTGCTGTTAGTAATGACATTAAAAAAAAAAAAGATTGTTTGAAAGGCAGAGTTACAGAGTGAGAGAGAGGGAGAGAGAGAGAAGGCTTCCATCCTCTGCTTCACTCCCCAGTTGGCCACAATGGCCGGAGTTGCGCAGATATGAAACCAGGAGCCAGGAGCTGCTTTCCTGTCCCCCACGCGGGTGCAGGGGCCCAAGGATTTGGGCATCTTCCACTGCTTTCCCAGGGCATAGCAGAGAGCTGGATCGGAATGGAGCAGCCGGGATTCGAACCGGCGCCCACATGGGACGCCCCAGTCATATTTTACCCAGTGATCTGGTTACCCCCTCTTATCAGTTGTATGTAGTTCGGGATGACACTGGATTGTCTGTATGTAATGGTGTCATCAGGGTACATTGACAGTTACTGGTGTATTTAGGGTCGATGCTTATTGTTTTTGTTGTTGGATTTCCCTGTTAAGAGAGATGGGGGAAGGCAGGCATAGCTGGGTCTGTTCCCAGGGGACAAGCTTTCAGTGATCCTGTGTTAAGTAGTTTGTTGTAGGTCCATTTGAGACAATCTTGATCACATACAGCATATCCCTCTTTTTTGCAATTTTGCCAGAAGTTGATTTTTTTTTCTGTTTGGATACTGAATTTTGTTAAATGCCTTAACACTTAATCTGAATGATCATGTAATTACCTTACATTTTCAGCCTACCTGGATGATTTACAGGGTTTGTTTGACACTGTTGAATGCTCTTCATTTTTTAAAGTGTCTTGCTTGTTATTGATCTACGATATTTTCCTATATGGTTGAATTCATATAATGTTTTTCTCAGGATATCACCTATTGATGAAACAAATGCTCATTAATTTCATAACCTGGTACTGTTTGCATCATATATACAACACTGGCTTCCCAAAAAGTAATTTAAATACATTCTCTGCTTATTTCCACTTAAAATGAGCTTGAGAAATTTAAATTTATTTTTCTTTCTTAAAAATTTAGAATATTCCGTATGTTTGGGCCCAAAATTTTACTTGTGGAACTTTTGTTGTGGTTGGTTTGGCTTTTCAAAAATTCAATCATCTGATTAAATTATGTAGTTTTTTTTTTCTGTTTCATGCTATATTTGTGTTTTGGGAGACTGATTTTCAAAGTGTAACAGATTTTGAACTCTGGAGTCACATTTTTATTTCTAAGAGTTTAACAATATCCTCTTAGTATCTTGGTAAGTTCTGAATGTTCTATAAAGAATGGCCCTGGTTTAATTTCTTCAAATTGGTTACTAGCTTCTTGATTTTCTTAACTTTTAAAATATATTTTTCCTTACATGTTTCTGGAGTACTTCTGTGACTAGAAATATTTCATTGATGTCTGTTGCATCTGTGTCCTGCCTTTATTTAAATATTCTTTCAGCATTTTTCCTCTTTAATTCTTGAGAAGGTAGCTGAGATTTCTGTGTCCTAACATACTCATTTAAGGATTCCCATTTTCTCCAAGCACTGTATCCATATTCCCTTAATTTTCTCATATATTTGCAAAGCCTGTAAGTGTAGACCCTGTCTACCCCAGTGTCTCCATCCCCATGAGCCTGCAACCATACCAGGCTTCATGTATCTCCTTTCCTGTGCCGGAAACCCCATGTGTTTTCTCCAGTGTCACTCTTCATATAACTGTGACCTCTCTTCACTGTTTTGTGTTGTCATTTGTAAAACCTCTGTACTCCATGTCAGCCCTTGAAAGTCCTATTCCATGTGCCTTCATGAGTCTCCAGCCCCTGCGTCTCCAGCACCTCTTTTTTAAAGATTTATTTAAAAATTACATAGAGGGAGAGACAGAGGCATAGAGAGACAGAGCTTCCATCTGCTGGCTCACTCCCCAGTTGGCTGCAATGGCCAGGATTGGGCCAGACTGAAGCCAGGAGCCAGGCATTTGCAGCTTTTTCTGGTCTCCCACATGGGCAGCAGAGACCAAAACACTAGGGCCATCTCCCACTGCTTTCCCAGGTCTTTTGCAGGGATCTGGATCTGAACGGGAGCAGCCAGCATACAAACCAGCACCCATTTGAGATGCCAGCATCATAGGCTGTGGTGTAACCCACTGCATCACAATGCCAGCCCCTCCATCACATCTTTCCTTGAGTGCCCATCTGTGCCTGAATCCCTAGCCATTTGTCATGTACTCCAGCCCCTCTGCATGAAGCCCTGATCTCCCATCAATTATCTGCTTCCCTACTCCAGAGTATTTTCCTACTAACATGGAGTGACTTCATTGCCTGTGCCTCCAGCTCATGGCAGGCTTTAGATACCTCTCTGCCCTTGGCTTGAAGTCATTGTCTTCCTTAGGCATATAGAACCCCTATGACTGTAGCCTAGGCTTTTCTCTTGTGTCTCCATGCTAAATGTCTACATCCTAAGCATCTCATGTGTCTTCATCTCCTGTTCTCTTCCCAGGGTCTCCACTCACTTTGAAGGTTTGGTTATGTGGTTAACTTTTGAAGAACAACTTGGTTTTATATGAGTTTTAACCATTGTGAATAAAGCTGCTATATGTATTTTCACATCAGTTTTATCAAGGCATACGTTTTCACACCAACTGTGAAAATATATTAGAACACATATGGTGTATGACATGGTGTTGGATTCCTAATAAAATGTTAAGATGTCTGATAAAGCATCTGTCTCATGGTGCATTCTCACCAGTAATGAATGAGATGTCCTGCTACTCTATCCTTGCAAAGCATTTGTAATGTTTATTTTTAAGTATAACCATCCTGATACACAGTGTATCCATCTTGTTGCTGTCTAAATGTGCTCTTCCTTTATGTACAGTACATTTCTTTTTCTCAGAATTCTCTAATATTCAGAATGGTTTATATGCTTTTTAAAATTTATTTGAAAGATAGAGTTAGACAGTAAGAGAGAGAGACAGAGAGAAAGGACTTCATTCCATTGGTCCACCCTCCCCCAATGGCCGCTACAGCTGGAACTACACCGACCTGAAGCTAGGAGCCAGGTGCTTCCTCCTGATCTCCCATGCAGGTGCTGGTGCCCAAGCACTTGGGCTAAACTCCACTGCCTTCCTGGGCCACAGCAGAGAGCTGGACTGGAAGAGGAGCACCTGGCACTAGAACCCAGCACCTATATGGGATGCCAGCACTGCAGGCAGAGGATTAACCAAGTGAGCCACTCAGACTTTGAACCCTAAGTGTCAATATGATTGCACCAACACCCTCTACCAAATATTTAAAGTCATTTTCTGATATGTCCAAGCTGCACACTGCTGCACCATTCAGAGGAAGAAAAGATCCCAGTGTCTCTCCTCCAAGTTCCCCAAGGCTCAAGCAATCAGTGTGCTGCATGATGCTGCTGATCTCCACCTTTGTACCCATCAATCCTGCCAGTAAATACAGCCAGCATTTCCAAGTGTTAAGGACAATCCCTTTCAAAGAACCCACCTAAATGTCACTCTGCAGGGGAAAACAAACCTTGTGCAGCTGGGTCAGCAAACAGATAGAGATGTGGTGAAACAGTGGCAGAAGTGGAAGAGAAAGTGGGTTCTCACTTTATGACTTTTCTGTGCCTATCTCAGAGAGAGTCATGTGTAGATATCAGCCAGCCCATGTCCTCATGACAAAAGCTGATGATGCTTTCTCAGGTGCCCAAAGCAGCTGTCATATGTCTTGTACCTCAGTGATTGAACAAACTCCATAGCTGCCAATGGTGAGCTCAGATGGTACCAGGCTCTCCCATTGCCCCCATTCCTGGGTTTTCTCCTTTAGCAGCTAAAGTTTTTCCTCAGACTGACTCTTCCAGGAAAAGAAGTCCCATCTGTAGTTATCCAGGGTGTGGCAAGACCTACTTTAAAATTTCTCATGTGGGACTACAGCTGTGCTGTCTGCAACAGCCTGCATCACCTGTGGGTGCCAGTTCAAGTCCTGGCTGCTCCACACTAATGTATCTGGGAAAGCAGTGGAAGGTAGCCCCAGTACTTGGGCCCCTGTTCCCATATGGGAGACCCAGATGAAGATCCTGGCTCTTGGTTTCAGCCTGGCTCAGCCCTGACCATTGTGGCCATTTAGGGAATGAACCAGCTGGATGGAAGGTCTCTATCTGACCCTTGCTTTCTGTAATTCTGACTTTCAAACAAATAAATAAATCTTTTAAAAATTCTCATGTGATAGTCCCCAAGAGAACATATACAGGGAAAAACCCTTTTAGCTGTAGGTGGAGAGGCTGTGAAAGGTGGTTTGCCTCTTCAGATGAACTGTCCAGATGATGGCAAACTGACACAGGTGAGAAGCAATTTGCCTGCCCATATGTGAAGTAGAAGCCTCAGGAGTGAAGGCCCATCTTGAGTTGGCCAAGTGCTTTGGCCACAGTAAGGTCACAGAATGTAAGGTTTCATTTGTAATTATATAAGAAAGAGGAGAAAACTTGTGTTCCTTTGAATATTTTTTGAAGGTTTTAGATGAGGTCAACATAAGTAGTACAGATTTTGAGTTTGTGTGGACTTTAAAAATTTTTTTTTGCTGTTTATAATTGAGACCAACTTTTTTTTTAAGATTTATGTATTTGAAAGGCAGAGTTACAGAGAAAGAGAGGGATAGAAAGAGGCTACTTGTTCACTCTCCAAATGGCCTTAATGGCTCCAACTAGGCCAAGAGCTTCATCTGAGTCTCCTAGGGCCCTGTTCTGCCTTCCTAGGTGCAGTAGCAGGGAGTTGGAAATGAAGTGGAGAAGCTGGGACTTTACCTGGCACCAATAGGGGATGTTGGTGTCACAGGTGTCAGTTTTACCTGCTACACCACAATGCTGGCCCCAATACCAGCTCTTCAATGTGATTCTTCTCAACTGGTCTCAAGAATTTAGACTAGAAATACATGTTATGGTAAAGAGATATAGTCATAAAAACAGTTTCTATTGTTCCAGATACTGTTATCTTTCCGTAGAGTTATCTTGTTTACTGTTTCTAGTAATTCCAATCGACATGGATGTAGTTATTTAATGTATCTACAACTATTTTTTTTTACACTATGGATATTTGGCATTCAAAGACTACATATTGCTAAAGAGGGTTCAACAATGGAATTCCCACTAATTCAATTGCTCTTAAGTGTGTAGCTACCACTTTTTATTTTTTTTGAAAGCTTTACAAATGATTATATCCAGGCATTTTATTGTCATTTGAACTTCAGTTTCCCTGGAGTTTCTTGTGTAGATTTTAAAATACTATGCCAATGTGTTTTCTATAGACTCTAGGATAAACTGCATTTTGTTTAGAAAAAAATTGAACATGAAATATACATTGTAAAGAAGGATATCAAGATAACTCCTTGCAAATAAACAGATTCTCTCATCAGTAAAATGCCCTTATGTTATGATGATGCAAGATGTGCTTTATTGAATTAGTATATTAGCATTATTCACAGGTGGACAATGATATGTTAACTTATAGGAGGTTTTTGGGATACAGAATAGATTGATAGAAAAATTAGTATATTCACTTATGTTAACAATATTTTTGTTCTGTTATATAGCAGGTGATAAACACTGTGGTAAAGAGATAGAAGGATCTTCTACCTACTGGTTCACTCCTCAAATTTCTGCAACAGCAAGAGCTGTGCCAGATTAAAACAAGGGCCCATAACTCAATCCATGTTTCCACATGGGTGGGCAGTAATGGAAGGACCTGAGTCATCATCTGCTGTTTCCCAGAGTGTATATTATCAGGAAGGCTAGATCAGAAGCAGAGTAGCCAGCACTCAAACCAGGTGCTCTGATATGGAGCACAGGCTTCCCAAATGGTGATTTAAGCTACTGTGCCACATGCCCATCTCCAGAGAGTCATTCTTGCCTTAGGAACTTAATGGCCAGAAAACTAGGGAGTTTGAGTAGTCCTGAATTCAGATACTGAAATATGTTGTACAAATTAATGTCTACTGAAGGATACTGCTGCTTGCAATTTTGATTGCTTGATTTCACCACAGTTTGAATGGACTTGTGGGGTTTACAGAATGGAATATGCCCTGCATTTTAGCCTGATAGACTTCTGACATACAGAATATCAGAATGTAAATTTGTGCTTCTCTAAGACACTAAGTCTGCAGATATTTGCTATTTTAGTTATAGAAAATGAATACAGGGTGGTGCCAGCTCACTAGGCTAATCCTCCACCTGTGGCACCAGCCCCCCGGGTTCTAGTCCCAGTTTGGGTGCCGGATTCTGTCCCGGTTGTTCCTCTTCCAGTCCAGCTCTCTACTGTGGCCCGGGAAGGCAGTGAAGGATGTCCCAAGTGCTTGGGCCCTGCACCCACATGGGAGACCAGAAGGAAGCACCTGGCTCCTGGCTTCGGATTGGTGTAGCACTTAAGTGGCCATTTGGGGGCTGAACCAATGGAATAAAGACCTTTGTCTCTCTCTCTCCCACTGTCCAACTCTGCTGCAAAAAAAAAAAAAAAAAAAAAAAAAAAAAAAAAAAAAGAGAGAGAGAGAGAGAAAATGAATACACAGGAAAGCAGTCTAGTGGGGGTGGAGAAGATAGAATGTTGGAAAATAGAATTCAAAAATTATTTTATATTTGGTGTTGTAGATATCAAGATAAATGTGTAAATAGATAAGTTATTTTGAAGCAGGTAAATCTTGTAATCACACTCAAGTTCAACTATGGTGTTCCTTTCATTTACACTTAGAATCACACCTGCCTTTAATTGTTACATCACATGGGAAAAATCCAATTTGGATTAATGTAGGAAATAATCAGTAGAATTCAATGTTAAAATAACTTTTTCTCCATCATGAATCGGCCTAACCTTGTTCCAGTGAGAACTGACAATAGGATCAGGGTTATGCTGGAGATAAGACAGAGGATTCTTATTGAGGAAGTTTGGCATGCTTACTGGTTTCATGTTGTCCTTCATTTCATGGAAATCTAAAAAGATCTGGCCAATGCCCAGCTATATTATAAAAGATTTTGTCAGATTTTATAGGTAGTGCAATTAAAGCAGCCTCCAGTGTACAGTTGAAATTTACATTTTTCCAACTTTAAGCAGCAGAGCTAGGTTAGCAGGGAGTGGGATGAGGGAGAGAGAAAAATGAAAGATAGCACTTGCTTGCTTTATTACTTAAATTATTTGCTTTAAGAGGTCCTAGATTGGGTCCAGCATTGTAGTGCAGCAGGTTAAGCCACAACTTACAATGCCAGCCTCCCATAGGAGCACCAGTTTGTATTCCAGGTGCCCCACTTCCAATCCAGCTCTCTGCTAATGCAACTGGCAAGGCAGTACAAGATGGTCTAAGTACTTGATCCCCTGCCACACACATGGGAGACCCAAATGGAATTCTGGGCTCTTGGCTTCAGCCTGGACCAGTCCTGATCTTTGTGTCCATTTGTGGAATGAACCAGCAAATGGGACATTATTGGTCTCTCTCTCTCTCTGTGTGTGTGTGTGTGTGTGTGTGTGTGTGTGCGTGTGTGTATGTATCCCTCACTCCTTGTAACTCTGCTTTTTAAATAAAAATGTTTTAACAAGAAATAAACAAGAGGTTCTGGCTTGTGCTTATGAACTACTGCTATTTGATGGCATCCAAGATCCTCCTACAGAATAATAAATCTACATTTCACTATAAAAATGTAGCATCCTGACCCAAACTTCAAAAATGAAATTGCATGCATTCTTTAGTTTTATGCCTATAGCTTTCTCCCAAGAGTAACTCTTTTGTAAGAACATCTGGAGGGTGATTAATCTAGTACAATCTAGTAACCTGACTGGAAAAGAAGAAAAATAAAAACACAAGGTCATCTAAAGATTTGAAAGATTTGGAACCACACAGATTAATATAATTACATTTTAGCATTTTATTTTTCATAGTTTATATGAAAAGCAAGTTCCTAGCAAATTTAGTTTACATTGCTAAGATATTTTCCTCAGTGAATAATCTTTTGTAGTGCAAATATGTTATTGGACCATCAAATTGAAGAATTAATTTTTTAGGTTTATTTATTTATTTGAGAGACAGAATCACATACAGAAAGAGGGAGAGACAGAAAGGTCTTCTATGTGCTGGTTCACTCCCCAAATGGCACAATGGCTGGAGCTGGGCTGATCCAAAGCCAGGAGCCAAGAGCTTCTTCTGCATCTCCTATGTACATGCAGGGGTCCAAGCACTTGGATCATCTTCCACAGCTTTCCCAGGCCATAGCAGAAAGTTTGATTGGAATAGGAGCAGCTGGGACACAAACTGGCACCCATGTATGGGATGTGGTACCACAGATGGAGGCTTAGCCTACAGCACAGTACCAGCTCTAATTAAATTTTTGTGTAGGCTTTTGGATCTGAATATTACATTCTTCCTTATAGCTAAACATTCCTTTGTAATTATTTGACTTTATTGAAAATATTCAAGTATTATGTTTAAATATTTTTTGGAAAGTATATTATAATCAAGATATCATTACCTGTGAATTGAATTCAACATAAAGAAACTTGCTTACATATGACAATTTAACAGACATATATTTAAGGAAATTTCTTCCTTTTATTTTTGAATAAACAATTTCCTAGGACCTAATAGAATTTTAAGACACATTATTAGGATCAATATTATAGAGTTTGACTTTGTGTAGATATAAGTAATAAAAGTCTTTTGAAATAATATTTTCATTTTGAATACAAATAAAGCTCCAGTTTGCAGCTCATGTTCAAAGGTTCTGATATATGTGAACAACTTTTTGAAAAGACATCACCAAGGCTGGTGTGGTGTGTGACTATAGAAGTTGAATCAATGAGCAGAGACTAATGCCATTGACAGATCCATTGCTCATATTAATAGTACTATAAAAGATAAAGCTTTGTTTTTATAGCTCAATATTTTTAATAGCTGTGATATTATTGTGAATAAGTACTTTTCTAGAAATAGAAACTGACAAATCAATTTTTGGTAAATTTTGTATAACCTAGAAAATGTGTATCTTTCTGAATAGTATACCATTTTCACTGAATATTAGAATTTTATGGGAATGCAATGTCAATAATGATGCATAGGGATAAAATTAATATAGTAGTACAAAATATAAGACAAATCAAGGAAAAAATGTTTAAGGGGCACATCTTTGGGCCACCATGAAAGATGCCACTTTGGATGCCTGATCCAATGTTGGGGTGTCTGAATTTCAGTTCCTGTCCCTGATTCTGACTCCACCTTTCTTTCAGTGTGCAATCTGAGAAGCAGCAGATGATGGCACCAATATTTGGGTCCCTCCTACCCACAGGTGAGACCTGGATTGACCTGGGTTTCTTTCTTGGCCTGACCCTGCCTCAGGTTTGGCAGCCATTAGGGAAGCAGATCAGTAGACGACAGATCTCTGTCTAACTTTCTCTTTGTTGGTGTCTGCTTTTCAGGTAAATAAAATGATTAAATGGACTTTGGAAAGTATAAAGTCATCATATGAAGTGCTATACAGTGATTAAAATAAAAAGTAAAACAGATGTGATGCCCACAAACTTCAAGACAGATTTTAATTGGTTTTGGAGTAGGAATATTGGCATGTGAGAAGAATATTGGAGCTCTCATGGTGGACGGGGAGCTAAGCTGCTACCTGCAATGCCAGAATCCCAAGTTAGACTGCCAGTTCAAGTCTCAGCTATTCTGTTTCTGATCCAGCTCCCTGCTAATGTGCCTGGGAAAGCAACAGATGATGGCCCAAGTACTTGGGTCCCTGCCATTCATATGAGAGACTAGGTTGGAATTCCTGGCTCCTGGCTTCAGCCTGGTCCAGCCCAAGTCACTGTGGCCATTTGTGAAGTGAATCAGCAAATGGAAGACTGATTTCTTTCTTTCTCTCTGTCATTCTGTCTTTCAAGTAAATAAATATATATATACACATATATTATCTCTCTCTCTCTATATATATATATTTAGAGAGATATATCTGTAGAGAGAGAGAAAGAGAATATATATATGAGAATATAAATCTATTTCTAATAATTTACTGAAAATTTGAATATAGGAAGCATTATTTGATAGGGTTTTGGACTACAATTACTTTGTCATATTTTAAACAATTTTTTACAAAAAGAAATTCTAAGAAAATAGAAATACATTTTGTTGACTTGCTTAATGGAACATGTTAGTCACTCATCAGAAAATTCAGATGAGCAGCATATTGACTGCATGTAATGGCTCCAGTTCTTCAGCTTTCCTTTGTTCACGTCTGCTGCCACATAGCATTCTTGTGGCTTCCCACTCTTCTCTAGATACCAGCCGCATTCCCTGGCTTGTACAGTGAGGTGTGTGCAGGTAAGACAGAAGAAGAGATTTGGAAAATCATTTGTACATCTCCACCCATGCTCTTGATCTTTTATCATGGCCATAACCGTATGCCTGAGCAAGCCTTCTAGAGTCTAAAAATCATGACTGCGTTCCTCTTTGGAGTCGGTTAGTATAGAGCCAGATGTAGAGCCAAGGAGCCCTAGTCAGGAAAGCTGAGGCCATCCTAGGTTAGCTGCCATCCAGATGAATTCCAGATATATAAGTGAGCCCCAGTGAGACTGGTTGAGTCTAGCCCAAGAGAACTACACCTCACACACACATGCCCTAATTATGTATTTCTTGCTGTAGATCACTGAATGTTTGGTATTGTTAGAATATATACTGATATAATATCTTTATATTAATATCAAGAAAATGCATCTTTAAATTTCATTAGACTTTCCGGTGTGTTTGTGACATTTCAAATATAGCAAGAAATATATTAATTTTCTCGCATATTTTAGTAGAAAATGACCTATAACTGTTATTTAATTTTACGTATCCCAGTAAAGGATAAGTTAGCAAGTGGATATTAAGACCTGTTCAAGGGGCCGGCACTGTGGCATAGAAGGTTAAGCCACCACATGCAGTGCCAGCATTCCACACGGGCACCTTTTGAATCCTGGCTGCTCCACCTCCCATCCAGCTTTCTGCTAGTGCTCCTGGGAAAGCAGTGGAAGATGGGCCAATTCTTTGGGCCTCTTCTACCCACATGGGAGACCCAGAAGAAGCTCCTGGCTCCTGGCTTTGGCTCAGCCAAGTCCTAGCTGTTGTAGTCATTTGGGGAGTGAACAAGTTGTTGGAGGCTCTATCTCACTCATTCACTCACTCACTCTTTATCTCCCCCTCCCTTTTCTTCCCTTTTTCCCTCTCTCCTGTTTAACTCTACCTTTCAGATAAATGAATACATTTTTGAACAATTTTTCAGAATTTCCTTGGTGACACTTATTCTCATCAGGGAAAAAAATTACTAGTCTCCCTTAACTCAAGCTCAGGTTTGCTAAAAACTTGCCAGTTGGTCACATTTCTTCTTTTCACATGGTATAGGATAAAGATTTCTGCTTATAAGCATATTTAAAGTGACTTTTGCAGCCCTTTCCCCCTTATAAACATTCCCATTGCATAAGGCCACTATATACCTTAGCCTGCCAAACTTTCTACAGCTCCCCATCTATCTTCTATGTTGGACCTTGGACGTGTGTCATCCCTTTAAATTCTGTACTTTGATAAAATCCAATTTATAATCAATAGTTCTAACTCCCAATGAAATCATTTTGAGTCTACAGATATTTTCTCTACATATTTCCATTGAGAAAGTTTGTCATAGGATTCATAGATTGTATCTCTCCTTAAAGTCAGTGAAAAAGCATTGAGCTATCATAATTTTAATTCTACTTCAAGATTCATTTCAGAATTTTGGAAAATTTCCAAAAATTTCACCTTCCTTTGCCATTGATCTTCTAAAAATAAGTCATGATCCTTTTGTAAATTGTGTCATGATGTTTACATGTTTGGAGAAAAGAAACCTTTTTCACAAGTGTTTTACTACTTGGGAATCATTATTCTGAAAATTTATTTTTCCCTATGTATTTTTTAAAGATTTATTTATTTGAAAGGCAGAGTTACATAAGTTGTTACCTGGTTCCGAATGATTGCAAGACATGGCTGTGAAAATTTAAAAAAAAAAAAAAAAGGTGATAAGGAAAATACCTTGAGATATTAGATTTTTTTTAACTTTTATTTAATGAATATAAATTTCCAAAGTACGGCTTATGGATTACAGTGGCTTCCCCCCCATAACGTCCCTCCCACCCGCAACCCTCCCCTTTCCCAATCCCTCTCCCCTTCCATTCACATGAGGATTCATTTTCGATTCTCTTTATATACAGAAGATCAGTTTAGCATACATTAAGTAAAGATTTCAACAGTTTGCTCCCACACAGAAACATAAAGTGAAAAATAATAGATGATTTTTAAATGATGATGAAATCAGATCAGACCTATTGTCATGTTTAATCCCAGTGAGAGTCAAGTTGGGAATTGATAATTTCTTCTTCTTCTTCTTTTTTTTTTTTTTTTTACAGAAGATCAGTTTAGTATACATTAAGTAAAGATTTCAACAGTTTGCACCCCCATAGAAACACAAAGTGAAATATACTGTTTGAGTACTCATTATAGCATTAAGTCTCAATGTACAGCACATTAAGGACAGAGATCCTACATGAGGAGTAAGTGCACAGTGACTCCTGTTGTTGACTTTACAAATTGACACTCCTGTTTATGGCATCAGTAATCTCCCTATGCACCAGTCATGAGTTTCCAAGGCTATGGAAGCCCCTTGAGTTCTCCGACTCTTATCTTGTTTAGACAAGGTCATAGTCAAAGTGGAGGTTCTCTCCTCCCTTCAGAGAAAGGTACTGTCGCTCCCCCTCTTCACGGAGGAACGACACAAGACCCTGTGCTGTTCTTTTGTCTGCTCGGCCCTTCCCGGGTTTGCTGCTGGTTCTTCCCGGGTTGGCTGCCGTCCCTTCCACCTCCGTGGAAGGGCGGTTCCCCCTGCCACTTTCCCCACTTCCGCGGGGGAGCAGCACACCGCCGGCCGGCTCTCTCGGGGGCTGCACAGGTGTTCCTCTTAGATGTTCCTGGTGCATGCCGTCTCTCTCCTCCTTTATAGTCCTCTTCCACCAATCCCAACTCTGCTACCCACACGCCGAGTACGCTGCTCTCCTCCAATCAGGAGCAGGTCCTGCTGTTTATTGGTTGAACTGGAGGCAGCTGTGTAGAAGCTGTTTCCTCCTCTCCAAGCGCCATATTGTGGGAGAGCAGATGCATAGAATAAGTCTTAATTCCAGTAACTTGGTCTAGTCTGAGTTGCTCCCAGTTGCTCCCCACAGGTACCTCCTTCTTTAAAGACCTGTTCTTTCCACTGGGATCTCACTCACAGAGATCTTTCATTTAGGTTTTTTTTTTTAATTTTATTTTTTTTTGCCTGAGTGTTTTGCTTTCCATGCCTGAAATACTCTCATGGGCTTTTCAGCCAGATCAGAATGCCTTTAGGGCTGATTCTGAGGCCAGAGTGCTGTTTAGAACATCCGCCATTCTATGAGTCTGCTGAGTATCTCGCTTCCCATGTTGGATCACTCTCCCCTTTTTTTATTCTATCGGTTAGTGTTAGCAGGTACTAGACTTGTTTATGTGAGGCCAGAGTGCTGTTTAGAACATCCGCCATTCTATGAGTCTGCTGAGTATCTCGCTTCCCATGTTGGATCACTCTCCCCTTTTTTTATTCTATCGGTTAGTGTTAGCAGGTACTAGACTTGTTTATGTGCTCCCTTCGACTCTTAGTCCTTTTATTATGATCAATTGTGAACAGAAATTGATCACTTGGACTAGTGAGATGGCATTGGTACATGCCACCTTGATGGGATTAAATTGGAGTCCCCTGGTATGTTTCTAACTCTACCAATTGGGGCAAGTCAGCTTGAGCATGTCCCAAATTGTACATCTCTTCCCTCTCTTATTCCCACTCTTATGTTTAACAGGGATCACATTTCAGTTAATTTTCAACACTTAAGAGTAACTGTGTATTAATTACAGAATTAAACCAGTCATATTAAGTAGAACAGACAAAAAAACTACTAAGAGGGATAATGTATTAAGTTGTTCATTAACAGTCAGGGCTATGCTGATCAAGTCACCGTTTCTCGTAGTGTCCATTTCACTTCAACAGGTTTCCTTTTTGGTGTTCAGTCAGTCGTCACCGATCAGGGAGAACATATGGTATTTGTCCCTTTGGGACTGGCTTATTTCACTCAGCATGATGTGTTCCAGATTCCTCCATTTTGTTGCAAATTACTGCATTTCGTTGTTTCTTACTGCGGTATAGTATTCTAAAGAGTACATATCCCATAACTCCTTTATCCAGTCTACCGTTGATGGGCATTTAGGTTGGTTCCAGGT